GCGGCCATAGGAGACGTAACGCGCTCGTGTATAAAAGAGAAATCGGAAAATTATTATACTCACACTATTCTATATGTAAATTTTCTTTTTGTGTGCTTTCAATATCGCAAAGAAAACAATGATGTCGTTATATGGTGAAAGAAGAATCCAAGGTGTTAAGCAATACGGATAGCACGCGCAACCTATACGTTAATACGAGCTTTGCTGTATACACGAATTAGCATATTTTAAGTACACAATCTCGTGCATAACGGCAGTAAAATGTTCAAAACCGAACATTTTCGCAAATAGTCAGACTCGGCAAGATAGCCAGCATCCTCGTACACTCTAAAACATCTTATCTTGTCTAGATGACTGGACGAAATAATTTACACTGCCGCGATGTACGTCCTTATTCCATGTAATCGTACGCACTGTCGTGTTATACATGTTTGAAGACTGCTTCCGTTACAAAATTTCAGATAAATAAAACATAATTCAAATATAATATTATACATTTTTCTTTCTCTCCTTTCATAACCATTCTCATTTCATTCACAGTTTTTATTTCATATATCTATATGTACTCAAGTACAAAATCGTTCACTTACTTACACCGTATCGTACAAGGCATTCGGATCCATAATATTGAAACAACCAAACTTCGGAATAAAACAATTTTCAAAATCCTTTCTTTTTTCACTATGCAAACGCAAATATTCATATTTCTCATCGCAGTTCGTATTTACTACCATTATACCGGCACCAGCGACCTTCGCATACCTCAATTCACAAAAATCATCCTCATGTACGATATCCATTTCGGTTATCGTATTGTCCTTTACCTGTCCTTTCAGGCATTCTTCCCCCTGACAAACAAAATCTTTTACAACATCGATTCTCGAAAGTACCTTTCCGCGTGAATCATCACCTGTAAGACCATTCAAAATTAGTATGAAATCAATCGAGTATAACTGCTATTTCTTTTATTCTATATGTTCACCGGTGAAAAATAATATTGAAACAGGCGTGAGAAACGCATCCACTGCATGATCGATAGGATAAATTCGAAATACGCTCTGCCAACAATCGTCTTCCGGGTAATAAATGTAAACGTACGAACTCAATACAAATAGTTTTCCATTCAGGACGCAATGAGGAGGAGTATCCGATACATATTCAGGAATATCCGCGCCTTTTTTCCACTTACCTGAAATCATCCATGTATTATTGTATGATTAAAACACCTACAAATATTTCTTTGGTTTTATACAATCGTTTATAACCTGTGTGAATATCAAGAATATCAACACGATTTAACAAACGCCTATGCCTCCCCGAACCACCTACTATGTACAATTTATTTTCTATAAATGCAGCAATCATATGCCTCCTTGACATTGGCAATTTGTCTTGAAAGTACCACTTCTTGGATAAAAGGCAATAACGCCAGATAATATCATTAAAGATTCCAGATCCTAATCCCATTTCTCCTCCAATTACATATACACTGTACCCTAAAAATATTTCAAATAATTACAAGTTTTCTACTCGACAAATATATGTGCAACTTAGAAGCACACCTCTACTAGCAACCTGCATTCCAATGAAATGTTTTCTTGACTCTTGTATAGTTTTTAATTGCACATGTTTAGATAAAGTACTACCATCCCAAGTGTATAAGTGTGCTACCTTGGTGGCATCTGGGTACTTTTCATAGACGATTGTACCTTGTATAAACTTGGGTTGCCTCTCTTGTACAACATTCACGCTTAAATGTTTCGATGTCTACAATTAACATACTTTCAAATATACCATGAAGATGAGGTGATAAATAAATATAGTAAAAGATATCAACTACCTTGCAATAATTTACCATTGCATCATACATACGCCCTACCCTAAATGTTATATTGACACTTTCTAGTAGTTGAATGATATTATCATTGCTCAGTTTCATGAGTGCAAATGCAGGTAGTGCTTTAAAACGGTCTAAACAAACAGACAGACAAATATCTTGTAATACTTTTATGCCCAATTTTTGTGACAATACCCATATATCGATTACTTTCTCTGGTGACAGCCAATGTAATACTATTATCTCTACAATTTCATTTGTTAATTCTCCAACCACAAATAATGTGCTCAATTGTAACAAATTTAGTAATTCTACAAAATTATTCTTCAAAAACTGTATCATAGAACCTTTTCTAGAATGACAATTTATATTAAAAAGATGATCGTCATCGTGAATCCAATTGACAAAACTCTAAAAACATAAAAATCAAATGACTACGACGATAATGTGCAAAGACACATTATGCTTCTACATTAATCGTAGAAATTACCTGCAAAGTCCATAAATCAATGTCATAATTAATAATGTGTTCCTTGCTAGACGAATCGCTAAAATTATGCGAGAAAAGTGCCGCAAAATAGAGGCTTTTACTCGCAAGCTTCCCTTTATCTACGTTTATGCGATTTTCATTAAGGACCAAAGTAAAAGAATCCTCCATGGTATATCGTTATCCTTGATTATCGAATAAATTCTTATTTAAGATGATATTAGAAATGATTAAAAATGCAATAGGTCATCTCAATCATCTTGAACGCATAATTAACGCAAGTTGTTGTTAATCGTAAATCACTTGAAAAATTATTCTTGAAATTGTAGGTACAACTTTGTCGATACAAGTACATACTATTTTACACGGAACGAGGAAGAATTTGTAGAACTGGAGGAATACTTACTAGGAACTCTCTTTTTTACGCGACATTTCTACATTCGTGTCTAGGAAGGAACTCCGTCCGGTGTTCCTGCCGCTCTGCGGTAGATTTTGGAAGCTGTTGCTTGACCGCTACAAAATAACAAAATTACACATGCGCAAATACGTATTTCAGGGAGTAAAATGTCTCTGGGATCATTGAATCGCAGTGTAGACAACCGTTCTTATAGTGAGGGTAGAGGCGCTTCGCGTCGTTACAGTTTAAAGAGCATGAAATATTGAATTTGTGGTTGGTTCGGATGGAAAATCTTGGTGAACAGTCTGAGATGCCAAACGAATAAAATTAATTTACGAGTTATGTTGATATTTACGCATTTTATTACATGCATCTCTGTAATCTAAAGACGCAATGGATCAAGAACTTATTGAAAAATTTATCGAAGTGACGGGTAAGTACTACGTACCCTATCGCTCTAATGATATTTGAAAAAATAGCAAAACTTCATTTTTCCTTTACATAATAATTTATTTTTTTCACTATTTACCAGTGAAGTATTTTAAATTAACTTTATATTCTAATAACGTTAACCGATTACTTTATGTTTATTATTAGGGGAGAGTGAAGCAACAGCTCACGAATATCTGTCATTAGCTGATGGAAATGTAGAAACTGCGATAAGTTTAATGTTTGAAGGAGGACAAGCATCTGAATCATTACGTGCTCCTGAACCTGAGCCAGAAGTGAGGCCTCCTATTTTACCTATCCAGGAAGTATTAGTGCCGTCTGGTCCAATATGTTCCCTTCCAAGATTATCAACTAATGTATTTGATAGATTTAGGGATTTTGCAGTGGAAACCCGTGAATATCATTTCATTCAATATTAGATAATGGAAAATGTATCTATTTTGTATAATCATTGTATATTTAACATAGAACGGCAGGAAGAAGAAATGACCCGTAAAGTAGCTGGGGTTAAACAAATGTCCTATTGCACATCAAAAAGGTTGGAGGATTTATTTCGCCCTCCATGTAATATCCTCTACCTGGGTTCTTTTATGGAAGCCCGTGAATATGCCAAGTCGTTAAACCGTTGGTTACTTGTAAATATTCAAAATCCTCAAGAATTTGCTTGCCAAATTCTTAATAGAGATGTATGGTCAAATCAACAAATTCAAGAAATTATAAAGGATCATTTCGTTTTGTGGCAGGTAGGTTGAAATAAAACATTTCTATTTAAATTTTAAGAAGGAACAAATAATACATTCGTTACTTTTGCATATCTAAATAGGTATTATCAAATACAAGTGATGGAAGTCGTTACATAAATCTGTATGATGTATATGAATACCCCTATCTAGCAGTAATAGATCCTAGAACAGGTGAATGTATGCAAACTTACAATCATATTACTGTGGACGTTTTAATGTCTGCTCTGAATGATATGTTAAGTACTCATCCGTCACCTGAATCTGTGACAAATGAATCGTTTAATCCTAAAAAATGGAACAACTGTACCGCCACAGCAACAAAAGAAAGTTGTACATCTAATTCATCGGTACGTGCCGATAATCTTTTACATTTAAATTCAACATTATGATTCGTCGTTCAATTAAAATGATTAAATTTTATTTATAGGTTTGTAGTAGTAGTAGTAGTAGTAGTACCAAAACTTTTAAGCACACAGTTGGTAATTTAAACGACACAGGCAAGTGGCATTCATCAAATACTTGATACATTTCCTCTACAAATATTTACATTATTACTTTACTTATAGACAGTAATAACGATACCCCAAGCATTCAAAGCTCAAGTACAAGTTTGTCAGTTGATACCATGCAGAATATAACTAAGAAAAGAAGAATGAATGAATCAGACGAATTAACAGAAAAGAGTCAAGGAATGTGTTCAAAGGTATGTTAAAATACGCGTGTACACGTAGTATGTAATTCATTTAAAATAATACATACGTATTCTAGGACGAACAATCGTGCGAAATCAAATCTAATATGAACAAGATTAAAACTGGTAAACAATTACTACTTCTTAATATCCCTCATAAATGATTTCTTAGAATTAACGAAAGTACATTGTTTACGTAGACGATAGTGCATCTTCTATAAGACTTTGTTTGAGACTGCCAAGTGGTAAGAAGGAAACAATATCAATGTTTGCAACAGACACTATAGAGGTAAGTACAATGATTTTAGTATTGATAACCTTAGTAATAAGCACAAAGGGAATAACATTTTTTTCTTATAGGACTTCCTAAGTAAAATGGAAACTTTGGGTTACACGTCAAACGATCATACTTACTTAGTACCCTTTCCAAAAACAAATATCGGAGCGCTTCCTCCACAAACACATTTATCCGATACCATTTTATTTCCAGCGAACACAGTATTTATAACAAAGATGTAGTGATCTGTTAAGTAAGTGCGTATGATGCATATTTTAATCAATTAAACTATATATTGAAATTAACTTGCATATTGTTGCAGATGAAATATTGTGGCGCGAGTATTTTCATTTAATTACCACGTTATTGGAATA